ATAATAAGGTAATTATTAACTCTAGGGGGGAAAATCATGTTTTAAAGAAAAGGAATTGTGAATAATATTTACATCACTATAATAATGTAAGCATAATATTTATTTAACAATTGTGTTACCACTATTCTGGGATGATGAGAAGAGTGTGTGTATGTTTGCAAGTGAGTAGCAGGTATGTGTATTTCTGTGTGGCTGGGAGAGGAGTTGAAAGAGAACAATATTATCATATTACATAGTTGAAAATCATTAAGTAGGGGTGCCTAGCTTGCTCAGTCATAGAGCATGTGACTCCTGATCTCAGAGTGGTGAGTTCAAGCCCACGTTGCATGTAGAGCGTACTTAAAAAAAAAAAAGAAAAAAGAAAATCAGTAAATAATTATATGGATCTGAAAAATCAATAAATAGTTGTATATGCATATTATTATTTAAGACTATGAAAGTAAGTACCAGAAGAAACAGGTAAATGAATTGGAATTGGTGATCTCTAAGAGTGGTAATCAAGAGTGGTGAGTGATAGGGCAGAAAACTACTGTTATTCATTATAAGCCTTATTTTATTTCAAAACTGATAAATGAATATTATATAATAGGTGCCCCAAATCTAGCAGCTACTATTTTTTTAAATCAGTAATTTCCTTATAGATCAGAAATTTCCAGTTATTTTCTTAGAAAAAAAAAAAACAGAATTTAGTCACATTAATTACAAACAACTATAAAATACCGACTAATAACCCTAACAAGAAATGTATGTGATCAATGATGAAAAATAAAAAACTCAGTGGAGAAACATGCCAGTTCATCCCCAAATAACTAATACTTTGAGTGGAATTCCAATAAAAATACTAATGATAACCACAGCTGGTTATCATATATACATTTAAATGCATGAGTTTAGGAGTGCCTGGGTGGCTCACTTGTTAAACGTCTGCCTTCGGCTCAGGTCATGATCCCAGGGCCCTGGGATGGAGCCCTGCATCGGGCTCCCTGCTCAGCGGGAAGCCTGCTTCTCCCTCTCCCACTCCCCCTGCTTGTGTTTCCTCTCTCACTGTGTCTCTGTCAAATAAATAAAATCTTTTAAAAAATAAATAAAAATAAATGCATGAGTTCATAATTGTATTCAAAAAAGAAAAAATGGTCATCTGAAAACTGGCGAATACAGATTAAAAAACAAGTATTTATCCTGTCATTATTATAGGAAATAAACCTAAGTGTAACCAAATAGTTGATGGGAGGAAGTTTCCCTTTGTACAAGAATTCTAGCTAATAAACGAAGAAGAAAAGTATTAGAATATCACCATTTTGCAACTCCTCATGATGGTAATGAATCTAAGTGGTGATCATCAGTAATGATGAATAAAATTATCACAAGAAAAGCTAACCAGCATTCAATGCTACCTGATAGAATTTTAAAACACTACCTAAATCTAATCAAGACTTTAGATCTGATGACCAGTTTAGGGCAAATTTAGGGAACAGAATAATATGTTAAACAGTACGTCATGGATACAATCAGCAAAATCCCATTGTGGGAAACCCTGTAAAACAAATAACCCAGTTTCTTCAATTAATAAATTCCAAGGAAAAAACTAAGAGAGAGAGAAAAAACCTATAGTTTTTAAAAGAGACAGCAACTAGTTTTTTGTTTTTGTTTTTAAGATTTTTTATTTATTTGACAGAGAGAGAGACAGCAAGAGAGGGAACACAAGCAGGGGGAGTGGGAGAGGGAGAAGCAGGCTTCCCGCTGAGCAGGGAGCCCGACGTGGGGGTCGATCCCAGGACCCTGGGATCATGACCTGAGCCGAAGGCAGACGCCTAATGACTGAGCCACCCAAGCGCCCCGAGAAAAGCAACTACTTGTAACGTGTGGACCTTATTTGGATCCTAATTAAATAAAGTAAAAACAACAACAATGAGAAAATCAGAGAAATTTGGACATTTGCTAGGTTTTCTAATGATAATGAAGAATTACTGATAAGGCTTTCTGGCTGTCACAATATTGTTATGTTTATATTTTTTAAATTTCTTACCTTTAGAGATACATATAGAAATATTTACAGATAAAATGAGATGCTGCCTGTGATTTGCTTGAAGTATTCTTGTGGTTGGGGAGAAAACAGACCGGGGTATCAATGGAACAAGACTGGCTGTGAGTTGAAACTGGGGGATGGATAGATGGGAGCTTACAATTTTTGTTTGTGTTTAAAATTATCTATTAGAAGTTAAAAAAAAATATATCCAGGCAGAAAAAATCTCACTTGTAAAAAGATATTTGAACTATACAAAATATATGACTGAGTATTTTACTGATCTGAGTGGTGAATGACTTTCTAAGCATAAAATAGATGAATAATAAGCTAAAGAAAAGACCGCTACTTTAAAATAAAAACTAAAAATGTGTGTATGCTTTCAAAATATTGTGAAATTAAAAGATAAAAACTCGGGCACCTGGGTGGCTCAGTCTTTAAGCGTCTGCCTTCAGCTCGGGTCATGGTCCCAGGGTCCTGAGTTCGAGCCCCGCGTCGGGCTCCCCGCTCAGCGGGAAGCCTGCTTCTCCCTCTCCCACTCCCCCTGCTTGTGTTCATTCTCTCGCTGTGTCTTTGTCAAATAAATAAATAAAATCTTTTAAAAAAAGAAAAAAAACTCTAAGAAAAATACTTGCAACTTATGGCAAATAAAAGTTTTAAAATAATATGTAAGGGAGTAAATAATATTTAACACACTGTGCTTATAATACACTAGGCACACTTTACAAAAACTATCCAAGTTATTAAAAATAGAAAAAATACTAGGGGCACCTGGCTGGCAGTTGGTAGAGCATACAACTCTTGATCTCGGGGTCATGAGTCCAAGCCCCACGTTGGGTATAGAGATTACTTTAAAAAATAAACTGTTAATATTCTGTGGTCTAACAGATAATTCATAGAAGCTCGAAGAGTCAATAAATAAGTATATATTTAACTTCACAAGAATAAAATAATTGCAATTTAAATTTTACTGAGATGTCAACCTATCAAAGTAGTGAAGATTATTGTTAATGACTAACACCTGTTGATAGTGTAGAGACAAGGCTGACTTCTTACATTGCTGGTGGCCATGTAAGTTGGAAGAATCTTTCTGGAGAGCAATTCAGCAGTATTAGTTGAGGTCAGAAAACATTTATACCTTTGACCCTGTTATTATGCTTTCAGGAATTTGGAGCACTGTGATCAGAGATACATACGAAGATGTATGTGCTAGACGGTTCATACGAGTTTTGTTTGTAATAAAGAAAAATTGGAAGCGGGGTGCCTGGGTGGCGCAGTAAGTTAAACGACCCACTCTTGGTTTCGGCTCAGGTTATGATCTCAGGATCTATGGATGGAGCCCTAAGTCATCTCTGTGCTCAGCATGGAGTTTGCTTAAAATTCTCTCTCTTCTCCCTCTGCCCCTCCCTGCTCTGCTCTCTCTCCCTCTCTCTCAAACAAATAAATAAAAAAGAAAAATTGGAAGCAACCTAAATTTGAAAAAAAGAGAACATTTAAATAAATTATAAAACATCAATACCTTAGAATATTAGGGAACCATTAAAGTCATGTTTTCAACTGGAAAATAACCCATCAACAGGTGAATGAAACTTTAATTGTGGAGTATCCATATAATGAAATATTAGTCAGCAACAAAAAAGAATGAATAACAGATACATATGACAACATGAATGAATCTGAAAGCATTATCCATAGCAAAAAAAAAGTCAGACCAAAAAAACCCAGAATATACCATTTGAACCCATTTATATGTAATTCTAGAACAAGCAAAACTTTTCTCTGGCTAAAGAAGTCAAATCAGTGGTTGCCTCTAAAGTGAGTCCAGGGATTGACTTGGAAGGGGCATGAGGCAACTTTCTGGGAGGATGGAGATGTTCTGTATCTTGTTGGCTGTGCATTAACTGGGTATATCATTTTGTCAAACTCAACTCCCTTTAGCTACTGATTTTCAGCTCTCACATCAAATATTAGTCCAAAGATTATAGCTTAGTAATATGCTTAAGAAAAACGTTTCAGCTTGTTACTTCTCCAGCAGCCAGTACCCTTAACCATACAGTGAGGAGTTGAATCAGAGAGGGTTCAAAGTGTCTTTGAACTCCAACAAAATGTTATTTGTCCTTAGGAAACAAACTAGATATAACTGTAAATAGAGAAGACCATTTTATACGGAGGCATGAACCTTTGAATGTGTAAGTTTCCATTAAAAAAAGGAACAAAGCGGGCACCTGGGTGGCTCAGTCAGTTAAGCATCTGTCTTTGACTCAGGTCCTGGGAATCCCTGCTCAGCAGGGAGTCTGCTTCTCCCTCTCCCTCTGCCCCTCTCCCTCCTTCATGCTCTCTCTCTCTCTGTGTCAAATAAATAAATAAGATCTTAAATAAAAAGAAGAGGAACAAAGAGAACATTCAGCTGATTACCAAAATTCATCCTTAATATGTGAAAACATAGTTTTGAATCGTGGCAATGAATTTTTATTAATTTATGAAATTTGACTCCATGGAAAACCACACACAAAGGTCACTGAAAATTTACTTTAATAAATTTAAATGGAAATGGTTTGTTTTAATGGTCATTTAAACTGGCCTGATATGAGCATCTGGAAGGTGATTGATGATAAAATCAACAATGTCTCCTAATGAGATTAAAAACCTTCAAATAATACTATTAGCAATTAGAAAAAAGAATCAACTCTTTAAACCATTCATTTTAGTTATGAAGTAATACATATACATTTAAATGCAACAACCAAATGCTTTTTAATTGATTTATTATTAAACCATTATTAAATTAAATAATAAAAAGTAAATATATCCCAACCACTCTTCTTACCATGTTTATTTTCCAAAAGTAGTAAATGTTAATAATTTGCTCCACTCTATACATGCAATATGGTATGTATATATACACAATAAAAAATGGGAATATATGCCCCTGTTATTAAAAATATTTGTAAAGTGTTACTTTTTCTTGCCATTTTAGTGTTACCACAAGCAGTCACCCAGTTTGAAGAATTGGTTGGTATGGCAGAGGCCCTGCTTAAGGGTGGAGGAACCATGTCCACATCTGCATCTACCCTCTGGAGAGCAACAAACAACTCCTCACCAGATTCTTTTGCCTCTACGTGCAGTAATTCTAACTCTAATTCCAGTTCACCGATTTCCTTGAAAGCTGAAGAAGAGCATCATACTGATGAGAAACAGGTCAGTTGGAATGCCTGCCCTATCTTTCTCTGGGATACAGTAAATACAAAAATTATAATAAGACTACAAAATGATGGGGCACCTGGCTGGCTCAGTCGGTGGAGCATGCGACTTTGATCTAAGGGTTGTGAGTTCAAGCCCCACATTGGGTGTAGAGATTACTTAAAAATAAAATTTTTTTTAAAAAGACTACAAAATGATCCTTGTTTTATCAGGTAACTTTAGGTAAATTTTGGTCATGACCATAACATTGCAATTACATAAAACAATTTTTTAACAATAAATAAAAAAAATGTTTGTTTCACAACTATCCAGTTGAGAAAACTAAAGTCAGGGCGCCTGGGTGGCTCAGTCGTTAAGCGTCTGCCTTCGGCTCAGGTCATGATCCTGGGGTCCTGGGATCAAGTCCCACATCGGGCTCCCTGCTCGGCGGGAGGCCTGCCTCTCCCTCTCCCACTCCCCCTGCTTGTGTTCCTGCTCTAGCTATCTCTCTCTCTATCAAATAAATAAATAAAATCTTTAAAAAAAAAAAAAGAAAACTAAAGTCAAATTGTGGTCAATGATGAAATTACTAAACTAGGAAATTCTTAAATCAGTGATGAATAACTATGCATTGAGGGTTACAAAATTATATCATTGAGTGAAAGTAAATTTAAGCTTCTGCATACTGGAAGAATATAAACTTTTCTTACTTCCCCAATTTCTCTTCAAGAAACAGAAGCTGTAAAGACAAGAGTTTCATTAGAATTGGGTATCAGCTTTGGAAAATATGCCTTCCAGAGCAATAATTAAATACTAACAATCTAACATTTAGAATATTTGAATCTAGGTATATCAGTTTCTTTTTGCTATGTCACAGATGACCACAAATTTAGTGATCTGTAATAACACAAATGTATTATCTCGGAGTTCTGTAGGTCAGAAGTGTGGTAAAATCAAGGAGTCAGCAGGTGCATTCCTTTCTGGAGGCTCTATGGAAAAATCTGTTTCCTGCTTCTTTAGGTTATTGTAGAATTCAGTTTCTTGTGGTTGTAGAACTGAGTTCATTTTCTTGCTGACTGTAGAGGCAACCCACGTCTAGAGGCAACTTCTGGAGGCAGCCACATTCTTTGATTTATGGCCCATTCCACCACCTTCAAAGCCAGCCATGGAGGCAAAACCCCTCTCACTCTTCCAATCTGTCCTCCTTCTTCTGCCTCTTTTTTCTGGCCCACTCTTCTGCCTCCCTCTTCTGCATTTAGGGGTTCCTATGATAAAATTGGGCCCACCTGAATAATCCAGGATAATCTCCCCATCTCAAGGTACTTAACTTTGATCACATCCCTATAAGGTCACATATTCACAGGTTCCAGGGATATGGATATCTTCAGTGGGCCATTATTCTGCCTACCACACTTAGTAGAAGATGTTGAGGATGGGACTCATCCTTAAACCATCCAATCCAGATCACATGACAAGAGCTTGTATATACTCTGGAACAAATACCTCATAAATATTAGGAATTATATCAAAGATAACATCTAACTCTAACCCCTGAAATGTAAAATATGTATTAAAAGTAAAATACATCCCCTTAAAGAATGTTCATTTTGTTTTGGTTTTGTTGTTGTTGTTGTTATTGTTTTTAAAGATTTTATTTATTTATTCGACAGAGAGAGAGAGACAGCTAGAGAGGGAACACAAGCAGGGGGAGTGGGAGAGGGAGAAGCAGGCTCCCTGCCAAGCAGAGAGCCTGATGTGGGGCTCGATCCCAGGACCCTGGGATCATGACCTGAGCCGAAGGCAGCCGATTAACGCCTGAGCCACCCAGGCGCCCCAAGAATGTTGATTTTGTTTTCTGTTGTGTCTTAACTCAATTGGTAAAATATTTCTCCAGATACTACTTTCCTTTTCTTTTTCTTTTTTTTTTAATTAACATTTTTTTTAAAGATTTTATTTATTTATTCATTAGAGACAGAGAGAGAGAGAGGCAGAGGGAGAAACAGGCTCCCAAGGAGCAGGGAGCCCGATGCGGGACTCGATCCCAGGACCCCGAGATCATGACCTGAGCCGAAGGCAGACGCTCAACGACTGAGCCACCCAGGCGCCCCTCCTTTTCTTTTTCCAGTTTCAATTATTATTTTGTATTTTTTTAGTTCAAGATTGAAAAATGGCAGATTGCCCATTGTTGTTGTTGTTTTTTTAAAGATTTTATTTATTTATTTGACAGCGAGAGACACAGCAAGAGAGGGAACACAAGCAGGGGGAGTGGGAGAGGGAAAAGCAGGCTCCCCGCAGAGCAAGGAGCCCGATGCGGGGCTCGATCCCAGGACCCTGGGAACATGACCTGAGCCGAAGGCAGATGCTTAACAACTGAGCCACCCAGGCACCCTGAGAATGTTGATTTTGTTTTCTATTGTGTCTTAACTCAATTGGTAAAATATTTCTCCAGATACTACTTTCCTTTTCTTTTTCCAGTTTCAATTATTATTTTGTATTTTTTTAGTTCAAGATTGAAAAATGGCAGATTGCCCGTTGTAACAAGAGCAAGCCTCAGAAGTTTATTAATGATTTAATGCAAGTACTCTACACAAATGAGTACATGGCCACACACAGCCTGACGGGGGCGAAGTCCTCTACTTCGAGGGACAAAGCCGTAAAACCAGCTATGAATCAGAATGAAGTTCAAGAAATCATAGGTATAATATGATTGTATTACATTGTCACATGAATTTGAAATTATTTTACCATTCAAGGTTAAGTTATTCTTTCATGGTCTTTTTGTTGTTTATTTTTCTGTAAAAGAAAAATCTCAGGAGAGCCTAAACCTCTTATTAAATATGGTAAATTTTATAGAAAAAAATTACATTAAAGCAGTTACTAAAATAAAACTAAATTTTATTTCACTGAAATGTTGGAATTCATTAAATTCATAACTTCAGAAAAGTGCATTTCAAAATCCTTTCAAACAAAATTTTAGTAACAGTTTATATCTTATTTTCTCTTTCTTATCTTGGTTCTAGATCCCTTATCTTTTAATCTAGAAAAATAGGGGCTAATTTCCTACTTATGGAGTTTTTTAAATTTTTATTTTATTTTATTTAAATTCAATTAATTAACATATAGTATATTATTAGTTTCAGAGGTAGAGTTCAGTGATTCATCATTTGTGTGTAACACGCAGTTCTCATTACATCACATGCCCTCCTTAATCCTACTTATGGTGTTTAGGTTAATGAATCTCCTCAACTATAATAATCTAGATATCAAATAATTTTTTGCAAACATCAAAAAATTTAGGGAATCACTGAATCTGAGCTCTCTGTATTTTAATATGCCATTTCTCATGGATGTTAGGGTTCCTTTTGCAAAATGGAGACAAAATTACGTTGTGGATTGCTTAATGTTTTATCTCAGTTCATACCTTAAGATGCAAAGACCTCAAAAAGGGTTTTTGTGTGTTACTGTTGTTTTTTACAGGAGTCACAAAACAGTTATTTCCCAACACAGATGATGTTTCAATTAGGAGAATGATAGGGCAAAAGCTAAACAACTGTACCAAGAAGCCAAATTTAAGCAAAAATCTGAACTCTCAGGACATTAAGTAGATCCTTTCGGTAAGTCCTCTCAATCCTCACAATCCTTTCCGTGTGGCAAGAGGATGTAATACTTTTATCTGTGGAATAGCATTTTGTGAACATTCTATTAGAGAATGCCAGTGGCCCAAGAAATGCTAATAAGTATTCGTGGGGGTGGAGGTGAGGATGGGGAAGAGGATTTAAATTTGGGAATGCTAAGTTCAAATAGATTTTCCTTTTCCAGAACTTCTCAGAGTATTTTATATTCTTTAATATGCCCAAGTGCACCAGAAATCTCTAAGAAGGTTATAGAGTATGTAATGTTTTTCGAATGTGTTTTACTGAGGAACTTTTTTTTTTCTTCACAGAATGTATGTTAACTTGTGGGTGGGAGTAGAAAGGAGCCAAAGCAGGAACACTTGATAATTTAGGAAGTGTTTCTCTAGAACAGGGGAGATACAGATCCTAGGGAAATCTCTGAGGTACATCAATGGGACTGAACTTACAATTCTAAACAGTCATTTGTTTTTGGCACCAACCGCTGGCTGGAAATACCAACCACTGGCGGGGTCCCCTCCGCCATTCTCCCTCCTGCTTCTCACTGTCTTTAAATCTTTAAATCAGTTGTTATAGTTTGAAATGGTTTTAAAAGGATTTTTATCCAAGATGTTTCTATTATACAAAGAAAAATAATTGCTTCTAGTGAGTTTTGAAGGAAATACACTTTATAGTCAGGCCCTGCCCTTTAAGTGGAATTTTATGCTTGCTTTAGCAACCCAATGTGCTGGCTGGTTCACTTGTGCTCATGCTTCCTCTCCATTATTTTGATGGAAAATATGTGAAAAAATTATTATTGTGTTTTTAATATTTTTTGATTAATAGAGGTATATGGTAAATACATGAGGACAGGTTTTTCTTCCATTTTGTTTACTTTTATCTTTGACTTTCAATTTACTTGTTCTCTGCCTAACTCTAGCCACCTTTGAGACCATCTTACTTGTCTTTATGTTCTGACAGTGCTTTAAATAGGATTGGAGCTGTGGGTAATGCAGTAGTTCCCTCCACCCACCCTCTACCCATTGCTGACTACCACCCCCAGCACCCTTGAGGGTGGCTTACAATTTTGCTATATAACTAAGCCTAGCTCTGATGAGGGTCAACAATAGTAAAACAAACAAAAAAACTGTTTATAGCAACTGCAGGGTGGGGGTCTTTCCCTTGGCTGATCCTTACTGGTAGACCAACTTCCATATTTATAAAAGATATGATATTTGTGTCCTTTTTCTCCCCAAGTGATTAAAAAGTTCAGTAGATTGTGAATCTCACAACTTCCCAGTTAGGAGACAATTGCTTAAATGAGCCGTTGGAACTGCTCATTTTGACACGAAGCTGCCCAGTCATCCAGATGTATAATAGCCAAGTTCCCTTGCTAAATGCCATGTAACCAGAGCTCCAAGGGTCTGCTATATAGGGCTACCCTTTGGAGCACTTTATTGTATTTCAGAGCTCTGCAAAGTATTTTAATATCCCAACTTCTGCCTTTTTAATACCTCAGAATGCCAAGGGTAAGCACAAAACTCATCCCTATTAGTCAGTAGAACGTTGAAGACATTAAAGTTAAGAGTTTTATATCGGTTTTGCTTATACTTGCAACCCAGTAGTAGTGTTATTAATCACCTGACTACGGCATTAATTCAAATAGAAAAAAGGAACAAATCTTTTGCTAAGAACACAATATATTCTGGTGCTTTCTGGGCCTGAGTCTTGCTTTGTTGACAAGTTGCTTTGAATAGAAATGTGCATAGAATCAGAAGTGGAGATAAACACTAGAATGGAAAAATTTTCTTAATTGGCAAGTATCTTTCATTTGAAGTATAGCTAAATCCAAATTATTTCAAAAGGACTGAGAAAATATGCTGGGAAAGACAGGGTCACATCCAACCTAATTTAGCCACGCTTCATGAATTAGTCAGATATAGCACCATCTAGTGGAATGCTGCTATGTTTCTCTCTTTTTGGTCATCTAACAGAAGCCTGAAGATGACTACACATACTCAGGCAAATCATACTCCCTCCTTGCTCCACCCCAAAAAGTATTCTTTGGAAAAATAACTTTCTCTGCATGACAATTAGCAAGGTATTATGCACTGCAAAATCATGTAGACTTTGACAAATTCCCATGCATGCATGCACGAAGCCTAGCAACCCCCACCTTGTGGACCCTGTGGTAGACTGCGCCCTCCACCCAGTGCTGAGCGCAAGGTTGCTGCTGGTGGCTTGGATTTGAAACAACAATCATTTCCCGGCTAAGCTTCGTTTCTGAGAGGATAAGCGCTAAATTCCATCCTCCCCCCTCCTCTTGTATCTATTCTCTCTCATTCCTGTGACTCTCCTCAAGTTGCCTGCAGCTCACTGCCAAGAGCTTCATGTTGTCAATCTTTCTGGCTTTTCTCCATTTTTTGCTTCTTTCTTATAGGAACTAAAGAAAACTTTATTTATAAGAATTATAGAATATTAAAATATCACCTCTGTAACATCCCACGAAATGGTCAAACAGCTCTCTCCTGAAGTTTCCAAAGCTGCCTCAGCCAGTTTAATCTCTACAATAATATTACATATGCATATATTATAACTTAAAGATGACCTAGTAGAGCAGTGCTCAAATAGGATGGGAAGAACTCTTGTCCCTTGCCCCCCGATTAGGGGATATTTGAAAATGTCTGGAGACATATATGGTTGTCACAACTGGGTAAACTACTGGCATCTAGTGGACAGAGCCACAGATGTTGCTAAACATCCTACAGGGCTCAGGATAGTCCCCCCTACAACAAAGTATTACCTAACCCAAAATTAAGAAATCCTGGTCTAAAATTATTTCCTTACTTTGGAGATAATGAGACTAAAACCTAAAGAGGTTAAATGAATTGCCAAGATTTTATGATTAGTAACCATTAGAGAGTCAACACTAACATATGGTTCTTTGTATTTTTTTGAAGAACTTTTTTATTAGTTTTTTAATTTGAGACAAAATGTTACATTAGTTTCAGGTGTACAATATAGTGATTCAACAAGTTTATATATTATGCTATGCTCACCCTAAGTGTAGCTACCATCTGTTACCATACAACCCTATTATAATACCATTGACTGTATTCCTTTTGTTGTGCCTTTTATTTCCATGACGTATTCATTCCATAACTGGAAGCCTGTATCTCCCAAGCCCTTTTACCCATTTTGCCCATCCCTCACCCTAACCTTTCTGGCAACCATCAGTTTGTTCTCTGTATTTACAGGTATGATTCTGCTTTTGTTTATTCCTTTGTTTTTGTTTTTTAGATTCCACATATGAGAGAAATCATATAGTATTTGTCTTTCTCAGCCTGACTTATTTCACTTAGTATAATATTCTCTAGGTCCATCCATGTTGCCACAAATGGCATAATCTTGTCCTTTTACAACTGAGAAATATTCCAAAATGTCTGTGTGTGTGTGTACACACTACATCTTCCTTATCCATTCGTCTATTGATGGACTCTTAGGTTGCTTCCATATCTTGGCTATTGCAAATAATGCCTTAATAAACACAGGGGTGCGTATATCTTTTCAACTTACTGTTTTTGTTTTCTTCAGGTAAATACCCAGTAGTGGGATTGTTGGATCATATGGTATTTCTATTTTTTATTTTTTTGAGGAAACTCCATACTGTTTTCCACAGTGGCTGTACCAATTTACCTTCCCACCAATAGTGTATGAGGGTTCCCTTTTCTCCAATCCTTGTCAACACTTGTTTGTCCTGTGTTTTTGATTTTAGCCATTCTGACAGGTGTCAGGTGATGTCTCACTGTGGCTTTGATTTGCATTTCCCTGATGATTAATGATGTTGAGCATCTGTTCATGTGTCTGTTAGCTATCAGTATGTCCTCTTTGGAAAAATGTCTATGCAGGTCTTCTGCCAATTTTTTGAATTGGATTGTTTGGGGGGTTTTTGGTGTTGAGTTGTATAAGTTCTTTAAATATTTTGGATATTAACCCTTTATCAGATAGGTCATTTGCAAATATCTTCTCTTATTCAGTAGGTTGCCTTTTTGTTTTGCTGATGGTTTCCTTCACTGTGCCAAAGCTTTTTATTTTGATGTAGTCCCAGAGTCCTTTGTATTTCTTATTGCACTAGTCATGGTTCTCCAGAGAAACAGAACCAATAGTATGTTTATAAAGAGACATTGAAGGAATCGGCACATAGAGCTGTAAGGACTGGTGAGTCCAAAATTTGCAAGACAGGCTAGCAGGCTGCAGCCCCAGGGAAGAGTTGATGCTGCAGTCTTGAGTTCAAAGGTGGTGTGAAGGCAGAATTCCTCCTTACTCAAAGGACCTCAGTCTTTCTCTTAAGGCCTTCAACTGATTGGGTGAGACCCACCCATATAATAGAGGGTTATATGCTTTACTGAAAATCTACTGCTTAAATGTTAATCTCATCTAAAAAAGACCTTCACAGCAACGTCTAGACAACTTGGTATCATAGCCTAGCCAAGGTGACACACAAAATTATATGTTTTAGGGTCAGAAAGTCTGGTTTTAAAGCCTGCTCTACATCTTGATAAATGTGTGGCCTTCAGAAAGTCACCTGACCTCTCTGAATTTTAATTTAAACAGGGATAATATACTATCTACCATAGGGTTGGATCCAGGATTTGTAGAACCTAAGGCTTAATAGTGTTTGGAGAACTCACCTTAAGAAAAGAAACACAAGGGCGCCTGGGTGGCTCAGTTGGTTAAGCGACTGCCTTCGGCTCAGGTCATGATCCTGGAGTCCCGGGATCGAGTCCTGCATCGGGCTCCTTGCTC